CGCTGGTGGTGCTGATCCTGCCGGCCTCCCCCGCCTCGGCCAGCGGCTCCTCCTTGCTCTCGGCGTCGCTCTCGCCCTCGCTGGGGCACAGATCTGCAAGGCAGCGGGCGCGGCTGTGAGCGGCCGGGCCCTGCGCGGCCCCTGCCCGGGGCACCCGACACCGACGGCGCCGGGGAAGCCCGGCTCACCCCTGGTGCCAGCTTATCCGGTGACGGACATCATGCCTGGGCGGGCGGCGGGGGGGCGGGGGAATTACCCTGCAAGCGCCTGGCTCTTCCCGTGACCGACACACTGACCAGGGAGCTATTTTGCGTTGCCTAGATCGGCCCCTCCGAAGGGCTCGCAGACCTCCCGGCAGGCGAGAGATCGGAGCAGGCTTTGAACAGCATCCTGCTCCTTCCCTCCCCCTCCCCCATCCATCCACCCCGCTACCCCTTGACCTATGCAGAGTGTGATCAATTTGGGGTGTTTTATCTCTTAATCCAAGTGGAGGGCTGCTTTGGCTTCCCGGATCCCCCCCAACGCACCTTTCCCTTCGATGAATAAATACTATCAAGAAGAGAAAACATCCAGAAACCCAAATCTGTCCTTTCCAAGAGAGCAGAAAACTACCAAGGAAGCCTCTAACCCGCCCACTGGGAAAGGAGGAAGGGGGGGGGGGCGAATCAGCACTGAATTTCCCCGCAGCAAAGCAGGGTCGGAGGAAGGGGTTTGGGGAAAGAGCTGCTTTCCCTGATGCCAGAGCCGCACATGAATATTAATGGAGTGGCTCCAGGTCTGAACTTTTGCCCCGTGGTCTGTCTTTGCTCCCTTGACTCAGCGCTGGCTCCCTCCTGAACCACAGGGAGGAAAGGAAAACACAGCAGCAGCGAGGGAGGAGAGGTGGGTCTGTATCTCTGGAGCGCCTTTACTGGAGGCATGTTCAAAATCAGTTGCTCCAGAGGTTGGACACAAGCAAAACTTTTCCTTCAGATCAAAGAGTGGAGTAAGAAAGAGGGGGAGGGAGACGGAGGGGCTCTTGTCTAGAAACCTCCCGGGCCGGGGAGGGGAGGGGGCTTCGCCTCACCTTTAAGGTTGGAAGTGCCAACTGCAGGCACAGCAGGGCAGGAGGACTGGGCGAAACACTTAAAGGCAGTTTGCTCGCTAGAAGACTCATCCGAGGTGCCATTTTCCTTCTTTTGCCTCTCGTCATAAACGCGCATGGACTGCAGGGTTAGTTGTTTTCTGCAGAGACAACGATGGAGCAGAAATTTGGGAAATGCCCTGTTTTCTCTCTCTCACACGCACAGGCCATTACCTCTTTCCTAGACCAGCTGCCCTCCAACAGACACCACCTCTAACACAAGCCACTTGCTTTACAATCCAGCAATGCCCCCCTTGGCTGCTCCGCACGGTGTGGGTAACACATCTGACAGCTGGACTGTGCTCCTTCATAATATCTTGGGTAATTTCATGTGTATGTGCGCTCGGTGCAGATCGGTGCACATTTATTAAGGATCAAGGCTTTATTGAGCAAATTCATTTTGCAGGCAGAATTGAAGCCATCCGCACTGGCTGTTAATGAGAACAGATTCTTGGAAGCTGTTAGCTTCAGTACTAAGTGAGTATTAAATAAATGAGAGGGGGAAAAAACATTCCCAGGCGACTAGCTTTTAAAATGTTAGGATGTTCCTAGAATATCAGGCATCTTAATGGTTGCTAAGATTGCTAGGAAGTGGTTATTTTGCTAGGCACTTTATGTAATCTTTTCACCAACAATTAACCCGGAGTAAAATCTATTTATATTTAGAGAGAAATTAGAAATCATTTCCTCTTGTGGCTCCAGTACAGGTTTCACTTTCACACCCTGATGGATTGGAAGTGGATGAACCTGTATTGGCCTGTGTGGGTGGGAGAGCTGTTCCTGTAATTTCCCCCACCCCCTTTAAAACACAAACCAGTTTTTTCCCCTTGCAAACCACCTACCTTTTGGCGTATTTAAAATAATCTATTATTGGGGGGGAGGGGGTAATGCTTTATTCCCTCCTAATTAGAATAAATCCCTTACCCTGCATAGAAATAAGGATGTTACCTAGTCAGTTGCCTGCAGTCAAGATGTTGTCATCATGAAAGTAGTTTATTCTGTTTTCTTTTCGGTATAGATTAAGATTTTTTTTTAGATATCCCTAGGAAGATACCCTTTATGTGCTGTGTGATAGTTAACCAACAGCTATCCCGCCTACCCTTCATTCTTGTTTTCATTCATACTTGCAAACACGTGTTTCAGTATCAGTCTTGAGATTTCTGCCCTCAGTATTTGCAATTCTCTTCTCAACACACCGAGATCACTTTTCACAATAATCCCAGGTAACATACACACAAAAACGTGAAAACGGGATCGAATCACACGCAGTCCGTTTTACTTTCTGAAACACACTACTCATTTTGGCGGGGGAAGAACTGGTTTGGGGCAATGGAGAGGTTACATTGACCTCTGGACACACTCTAAACTTTGCAAAAGCAAACCAAACAGGCTAAGGCATACACTTTTTTTCTGACTCACCTTTTCTCCCTCCTTCCATTCCCAGTGTCACGAAAACCTTTGGCAAATGGGTTGTTGTCGATTTTTAATTGGGTTATCTAAAAAAAAGGGGAGGAGGAGCAGAATTAAGCCACCTCGATTTTCAAATTTCACTCTTCTCCCCCTCCCCTCCAAATTTCAGCAGAGGTGGTTTAAATCTCCTAGGAGCACACAACACACACGTAAATCCACAGGAGTGCAAGCGTCTTTACATGTAAGCACAATGCGAGGTGGCTCTAGGACGCAGTTTAACCCGCGGCTTGGGCTAATTCAGAAGAAGTGTAGATAGCCCCGCTTCAGTCAGTTACACGGACCGGCTAGTCAGTCACTACCCTTGTCAATTACACCGCCTGGGCTAGTCAATTGCACAGAATTACTCCGCACTAAAACTGCCCGGCGCTGCTAATACCGTGCTGGCACTGATAAAGCGCCGTGCCCTGCGATCCATTAACATTCTGCCTCAGTTAAACTCTTTAAAGACCGTAATTAAACCGCAAAGGAATCCTATCCACCCGCTTGCCATAAAATATTGCATACAATCTCATTTTATCAGTGAGCTGGCGGGACTGGGTCCGAGCACTTAAAATGCCTTCCACTCCCATCGATGTTTTTAGATCACAAGGACGGAGTTACCGGGGGAAACATTTGTTTTCGTTTATCCGCTTTACATATTTAAGTCTGGTTAAGGACGCAGCAGTGCCCGTGAAACTTTAGGAGACACTGGACAGGCTTAAACCCCCTTCACGTTAGTGAAGTGCCTGGAAGGACGAAGCTCAGCGCGGAGTTTGCACAAGAAAAAAAATGCGCCAAGAAGCCCATGCACAAAATTGTGGGTCTTTCCCCCAACCACTTCCCTCTGCGATTTGGGAGCAGAGTCCCATCAAGCCTAGCCCAGCGCCTTAGTGCCAGATCCCGTGAACTTTGCGTGGGATCTCCCTTGCCCAGAAAGTTAAACCCTCGCCTCATTGATTGTACGGAAAGTACTTGAAACTACCCAGGGGCTGCCTAGGTGCGCCGCGGTATGCGCGCCCTGACCTCTCCGGGAAGATAGCGAAGATAATGCGAGAGGCCAGAGCACTTTGCTTCCATTACAATACGCTTTACACGCGATTTCATGGCAATAAGACAAGTCCATTTATTTCTGTGCTGCAGCGGGGCCGGGCTCGGCTGAGGGAACTGGGGGAACACTCTGCCCTGGCTGGAAGCCCCGGAGCAAAGTCTAGTCTCGGCTCTGCACAAATTCTCCCGTCTTTGCCTTTACAAACCCAGGGCCGCAGAAACAGCGCGCAACAGCCTCTCCCCAGTAACAAAAAGCTCTTGAAAAACAGACTCGGGTGAAGATGAAGAGCCCCCCACGTCCGATGTTTAAAATCGGAGATATCTGGAATGGGGAAGTTGGGCGGGGGAGGGGGGGGAGAGGGCAAAATCGCCAAACTCCAGCGATTCAATCACGTGCTTTAAATCTGGAAAGTGTTTTACGTTTAACACCGATGAATCTGTATTTAAACCCTCCCCAAAGTTATGATTTATAGAAAGAAAAATAAAAAACCCGCCAGTCTTGGCTCCTTGGGTGCCTCCACTTGCCATTACTATAAATTCAGCACGCGCCCGTCTCCCAGAGATGCCACCTCGATTGCAACCTGCAATGAACTGGCAGAAGGGAAAGGAAACGCTACAACTTTTCCACCCGGGCTCGCTCAGCCCTAGCTGCCCAGCTCGGGGTGGCTAACCTCCCAGATCAGAGCGGAGACCTCGACAGCACACAAAATACAAGCCAAACGCAGTGCAGGATAAAACGATACCAACGATCATAGAAAGCAGGCGGGTGTTGGAAGCCTACTGTCAGCGGCGTTGAAAGGAGACAAGTACTGCAAAGGCCAAAGGACCTGCCAAAAAAGCCCCAGCACACACAGATCGCCAGTCTCTCTTTGAAAACAGCATCAGATCGTTTTCTTTCGTTTCTGAGATGCCTCAGATGGAAGCGACACAGCAAACAGAGATTTCCCCCCCCCACACACACACACACCAGTGCAAAGAAGGCTTTCGAGGCAAATTGGACACACTTATCGTCCCCCTCCCCCTGTAAATTGCAACAACTGGATTGTGCAAAAAAAAAAAAAGGAGGGGGAGACGCCGTGATTTGTAAAAGCAACAATGCATAATAAAAGATTTCTGAAAAGCCAAAACACGCCAAACAAATCCCCCTTAATCTCCTTACCTTATCATTCTGGTATGCGGTCACAGCGATGAATTCGGTTTCAGGGAACACGTAGGTCCTGAACGTGCTGTAAGGGAGCTTGAGGATGTCATTGGCTCGCACGATGTGGAACCGCGGCTGGTATTTGTGCATGGAATTTAAAATGGTCTGTGAGCGGGGAGAAAGCGACACTGTCAGGTACAGACCCCGACCCCGGAGGCTCCGGGGCTCCAGGCTCGGACCCCTCCTCCCGGCCCCATACACGCACACCTCGTAGCATCCAGGACACTGACAGCTGTCCGCCCGGATTTCCCACGCCTCCCGTGAACACACCGTTTTTTAAAAAATCCACCCAATGACTAAGGGAGGGGGTGCGGGGGGGCGTTTAAGATCAAAGATCAAAACGCATTTTAATTAAACCCCAAGCAATCCAGTGCCCGAGCTACAACGAATTGGCCGTCCCAATCCACTGAGGCCTTGTTTGAAGGGCAAAAATTAATCATCTAATCAAATCACAGGCAGCAAATGCAATCTTTCCAGCATTAGCGAGTCCACCCCCGCCCCTGTTCTCTGCACAATTCTCCCAAAGAGACTCAGGCCGATCGTGTAACTTCTTTGAGCACTTCTCAGGCCATTTGTTTGATTTAATTATTAAGTTCGAGTTTCTTTCTTTCTTTCTTTTTTTTTTTTTTTTGGTCGCTGCGCACCCAGGAAATGCAGTGGGGTGGGTAGAAACCAGCGGGCACCCTGACCTCTCGGA